GATCTTCATACGGCAATAGTTTTAATTTTTATGTGCACGTCTCCACCCACCATTGACGTCAATCGGACGGTTGCGCGGCACATGTGTCTGTGGGTGTGAGTGTACGTACATACAGTCCCGCTTCAGGGCTCAAACACAATAAAAAACCGGTTTAGGTACGAGAATTTGCTTTCGAGAAAAAAACGATGGCCCTTGATTAATAGGTGTACAAGCGAATAGGGAAGTATTTAATATATGTATTTAAATGTAAGTATTCGCCATTTTGAGAGGATATTTGTCGTTAATTATTATTGTATGAGAAGCAGAAAGACTGACGAGTATACGGTCTACTTAATTGGATGTAGTCACAATCGCTTAAGTACATTTTTTTTATTGCCCTTTTAGGCAGACGAGCATAAGGCCCACCTAATTGGGAGTGTTTACCGTCGCCCATGGACTTCAGCAATGCCAGAGGCAGAGCCAAGCCGCTGTCTACCGTTAAGTACTCTCCACAAGTCTCGTTTGAAGAAGGACATGTCATAGCGCTCGGGAAACACCGTGGAGGGGAGTTCATTCCAAAGCCGGATGGTACGTGGCAAAAAAGATGTCTGGAAACGCACTGTGGATGAACGCCACGGTGGAGACGCTGGAGGGTACGCTGGAGCCACTCCAGGTAGTATGGATGAACTCTACTCCGATGGCGGGCGGTACGATTGTATAAACGAGATGATGGAATCATCTCAAACAAGTCCGATGTGCGTTCAAAGTTTTATGTTTGAATCGATGATGGCCTCACTAAGAACTCTCAAACCGCATTAAAAGAACTGTACAAGCCGCCATTGCCTGTTTGATGATTATGTGACTTAAGTTATAGATAAATCCATATGTCATGTAACCTAATTGATTGTGTTCTTCTAATTTTCTTGTCGATTTTATATGTAGCTTTGATGAAAATACAATAATGTGGAGTAGCACAGCTAGTTTTATGGAGAGCCTGAAACGGTAGGTAGTGGCTCGGCTCTGTCCCTGGCATTGCTGACGTCCAAGGGCCACAGTAACCACTCACCATCAGGTGGGCCGTATGCTCGTCTGCCTATACGGCAATAAAAAAAGTGGATAACGTAAACCTTTAATACATAGTTCTAGAACCCCATTGTTTTCGGATTATCAAATTTATCTCAAGAAGCGATGTTTTCACGAGTATGCTTAGCTTAGCTTAATTATTTTTTACTAGAAGTCCCGCAGTAGTCGAAATTCGACTATAATTAATTGGAATTGTAAGTTTTGTACACTATTATGGTTGTATTTTATACTCTATAATCACAAATTTCGCCAAGGCTACACTATAAAAAAATATTAATAAAGACAAACAATATTTAATCTATTCTCAATTTGACAACAGACGTCAAGAACAAAAGTTTGACAATAAATAGTATGTATGCGTGTGTGCGTCAAATACATGGTATGTAGTGTGTGTAATGTTTTCTTTATTGATTTAATGTATCTTGTATGCATTATTAAAAAAAAATATTAGCATTGTGCACTCCTTCTCTATATTCTCTATAAGTGTGAAAAATTTCATACTCCTCCGTCCGCGCAATTTTCGTAAAAAGGGATACAAAGTTTTTGCTTCACGTATTAATATATAGATTACCCGACAAGCACGCTTAAAGCTGAGTGATTACCGTCGGTAGTTCTAGAGCGACGAGAACCGTGTAAATAATACAATATAATTCTATAGACAATCGATGACTCAATAATTCATAAAGTGTTGAACTCGTTTACGGCTTGTATAAATAATATTATGTAAAACGTTTTTTTTTACCCTCAGAATACATAAATATTTATATAATTTATCATGAAATATGTCATATAAAGTAAACCGGTTTGTAGCGGTGGATAAGAAACTTAAGTGAATTCGAAGGGTTCACTGTAGAATATATTAGCAGATATCTTTAGTGTTTCATTTTAGAGTTTTTGATCGTAATTTTTTTGTGATGAAGTTTCAATAAGGAAGAAAAAAAATCGTTCTTTTTAAGCAATAGTTCTCAGCTTTGATTCTGTTATGTAGTAGACAAGAAAAGACAAGATTAAAATTAAGAGGTTAAAACTATTTGTTTAAATATTATTATTCTATTTGGTTCTATTTAATATTGTTCTATTTGGTTAAAACTATTTGTTTTAACCTCACGATTATTTTACTTTACCATGCTACTTTTCTTTATTTTACCACGAAAACAGTAACCACAAGAATTACTACGAAATGTAATATCAAACAAACGCGATATTAAGCCGTGTAAGGGTCATACCATAAATATATTTTTATACGAAATTAAATTTGGCAAGATTCAGCATTGGCAAGACCTTGCCTATTTCAGCTGTAATGCGTTTCCGTTTGAACGGTAGAGCAGCCGTTGTACTGCAAAAAATTGAAACCTTAGAACTCATGTCGCAAGGTCTATTGATGTCTATGGGCTCTGGTAACCACTTAACACCACGTGGGCCATGAAATAGACCACCCATCTAAGCAATAGAAAAAATACATCAGCTCGTCCACTCGAAACAAACAATTAAAAAAAATACAAAAAATTCTTCGATGCTTGACAGCCCTAATCATACCGAGTCAGTGTCAAATAACTTTACAGAGCACACACATAAATAGCACATTCGCGTGTGCGTTTCACGCTCTTTAAATCGTCATCCTCTTGCACTGTACGTGACTCTGTGTTAAGTTACTGTGTACCTATAATCCATTTCAAAGAGGTAAACACGTTTTTTATTATCAAAACGATTTAAGATGTGCGGAGGCCCAAGGACTTTTAGGGAGAGAGGGGAAATAAAAGACGTTGTAGAACGTATACAGGTTGTTATTATTTTTTAGCATTTAAATTAGAGGTCGAAGTATTGTATTATAGTATTACAAACTAGCGACCGCCCTCGCTTCGCTTAAGAAACATTCAATTTTATTATTGATAGCTGAGTCCCGTGATGTTATCCGCGGTTATTGTCGTACCGCGGGTGACGCCGCGGTACGAAGCTAGCCTAAAAAAAGTAGCCTAAGTTACTCCTTATATCATCAGCTACCTATTTGTGAAAGTCTCGTCAAAATCGGTCCAGCCGTTCCAGAGATTACCCGGAACAAACAGACAGACAGACAAAAATTGTAAAAAAAAATATTTTGGTGTATGTACCGTATATATATTCATATTATGCATGTAGTAAAAAGCGGTTATTTTAATATTACAAACATACACTCCAATTTTGTTTATATGTATAGATATTCTGCCCTCCAAAGTAGAACGCATGAGTGTTTCGCGACAGAAAAAAGATGGTACCACGCTTTCCCTCTCACAATAGGTCCTTAATGCTAAACTGCTGCTTAAATTTTGTATATGAAAGTTGAGATATCGCTTGAGATACACATGACGTAAGGAGAAATTTACAAAGAAATCGCACACACAGCAGTGGGCTTGGTGCGAGTTTTTTTACTTCTCGACCGCGTAAAAGTTAACTTAAATATGTATGGAGTTTGAAACAGCGCCCCTAGCGGCAAACGAAAGACAGCTGTTTCAGAAAGTAAACTTTTACGCGATCGAGAAGTTAAAAAACTCGCACTAAGCATTCATTGTGCTTAGTGCGAGTTTCTTAACGTTTTCGATAGCGTAAAAGTTAAGCCAATTTTGTATGCAGTTGGAACAGCGCCCCTAGCGGCAAACATCCATTCCATACAAATATGAGCTAACTTTTACGCTATCGAGAACGTTAAAAAACTCGCACTAAGACCTTTCCGCTCTTCACTACGAAGACGTTCAAATTAATGTTTTGTCATTACATATTTAAACGACATGGTCACTTTACGTTTGTAACAGTTTCTAAAGAACACAGTAACACTGAATGTGTACTATAAAAATTAATTGTTATGCCATATTATGTTCTCAAATCTCTAAAAATATTCTGCGTAATTTGATCCAGTTTTCGATGTGTTTGCTATTCGTTTCTTAGGAATGTTTTATTCCGGAAACACGCCGTTATACTGAAAAGGAATTTGCGTTTTTCCTTCCTTTAATTAAAGCGAATTTTCTCTCGGATACGTAAAGTCGAATGTTCCTAAAATGATATTGCAAAATCGTCTGTAACTCTCAGAACATAAAGTCCATCGATGTGTTTATCACAAAGTGAACATGTTGACATGTAATGTTGTTATAATACAGTTCTAAGAATGTTTCAAATATTCTATAAAATGATCTCAGTAAATATTCTAATACTTCATAATTACTTTTAGGATGGTTTACAGCTATACTAAAAGTAAAAAAGTATGTATAAACTCCTTTAGTTATATATACGATTTAATAACCCAACTACATCAACTATTGAGCTGATTACTATATTTACTTGTTAATTACTACGAGTATTAGATGTATTAGATATATATAAGTTACAAAAAATAATTTAACGTACGATAGATATATAGAACAAAAATGAAATAGATTAAATATGAAAAGCAGTAATGCGTTTCGGTTTTAAGGGTAGGGCAGCAGTTGTAACTATAGCTTGTAACTGTAGGCAGCGGCTTGGCTCTGCCCCTGACATTGCTGACGTCCAACACCGACGGTAACCACTCACCATTAGGTGGGCCGTTTGCTCGTCTGCCTACAAGGGCAATAAAAAAAGTCAATAAAATTTAAACTAAATTTATATTGTGCGTAATCTGGTATTTATGTATTAGGTATAAAACTTTAACCTCAAATCATCAAATAATATGTCCATACATTAAATATAATTTGTATTTAAGACCTACAAAGCTGTGCGGAACCGAAGATAAAACGAAGATATATAAACAACTCTGGAAGAGCCGATCATAGTTTTTCTTTTGTTATTATAAATATTCAATTTTCGAATTTTTTCGATTTAACGTTGCCGTCTTCGGTTCCCGACAGGTCGCTCAGGGGTCTCTTCAACATTATAAATGTTTAATTTATTTTCGATTGAAAATATTAAAAAGTAAAAATTGCTTGTTCCAGATGATAAACGCTGATTGAGGGCACGGATGACACTTGAGCGACCTGCGGGCTTGCGGGGACCCCTACTGTCAACTGTCACCTGCGCTGCATTACCGGAATAGTATACTTATGGGAGATTAATTAAGCTAAACCATAAATGAAGAATCTATATGAATCAAACTAGAGGCTAAAATAACGGATATAGCTTAGATTTACTAAGCGTAAAGCTAAACTTAGAACTGAAAGATTAGAAAGTCGGACCAAGTAAAAGTTTTAAGGTTTACACAAACTGATTATGATGCTAAGCTGTTTATGAATGTGTCTAAAAAAAATATCATCACTATGATTGGTTTGCTTGAAAATGTCCGCTTCGAGTTTTATCATAAAATAATTGAAATGAATGTATTGCTTTCAAATGTGTTCACAATTTATTCGGTTGAGAAAAATACGTACAACTTTGATCTAAATTTGAGTCGAAATCGTGATGCAAAACCTCCTTCATTGATACGATTAATAGCTGGGACCAAAATATAGCGTATCTAGTTTTAAAAGTTCCGGAATGTTCCGTGAATAAAAATCAAAATTAACTATGTTTATCTCGAAAATAACATCTTTTTTGTTAAATTGTGCTGATTCTGTATCGCTAGTGCGCTGTGCGCCATTGCGTTTTTAGTTACGTACATATATATAAAATTTCTTTATTAGATTTGTGAAGAAAATAAATGGTTGTTAGAATAGAATATTTATTACTAAGGAGGTTAATAAGCAAAAATACGCTAAAAGAACCTAATTTCAGTAGTTATTTCAATTATATTCAGAAAAATCATAATTCTATTTATATAAAGTTATTACCTTCAATGAAAAGGTTTATTAAGAATTTTGCAGAATTAGGCTCTATCATAAGGATTATTCAGGCTATTTGTTAAGGTGTTATTTGTTAAGTTTAAATTTTCATTTGAGCCAAGAAATCCGCATTCTCGATATCCTCTGTTTGCGCATACAGTCTATTGAAGCATGTATTTGCTTTGTTTGAATGTTTCTTATCTTCTCCTGAGCTTTATGAACTATAAATTATTATTATTTATTTAATTTTTTTGACGTTTCTATTATGATCTTCTTTTATTTATTGTATACTTTTTCTATGTAACGTAACTATAAAAGGCACATTCCAGTTTTATGTATATATTGTTGTTGTTATTTATTTATTTATGTATGTAATTTTGATAAGATGCGTTTTAAAATGTTGAAAATTAATTGTTTAATTGATTGTTTGATGAAAGATCGCATTTCAGTTCAATGCCTATGATATATGTATTGTAGATATAAAAAAAAAACAAGAAATCACGAGAAAACATTCTAGATTAGGGCAGCTGATAATAAAATGATTGCTTAATTTTATTTAATAATATTCATAGGATCAAATAGCAGCTATAAACTATTGTTCTTACTATTTTTAAAATCTTAAAAAATATATCTATAAGTATTTCTGTTATTATCCGAGTATTATTTTGAGAATAGATTTACTTACATTTAATATAGGTAATTTTAAAAATTATTTACTAATTTTCAATCAAGAATAACAAAGAATAATGACATATCATTACTTAATTTAGGAATATAATGATTTTTAATTTTAATTTTAATTTAAATCTAAGCATTAAAGCTAATTGCGAAGAGACCGTTTCTCAATGAACTTTGATACATAAAAATTTTTCACTCGATATTCCATTTATTATTTTCATTATTTAATTTCCTACTTTTCGTTCCAATATTCGTTTTTGTTCGAACTACCGTCTATTTTAAATTATTACAAACAAAACTGCGTGAGACGCGAGATTAAATTTATGTATTAAATTTTTATTATGTCTATCTAAGTAAATGCAATTTTTCGAATACTAAGCTGAGAGAATGCAGTGTCATTAATGTGTTTACTGTGAACCGTAAATTAATGTTGATATCAGTCATGTAAGCTGTTTTAAACTTAGCACAGACTAGGCAAAAAACAATTAACATTTTTTTTAATTAAATGGGAGATGGGTATATGAGTCGTCTATTATCAAAGGTGGCAATCTGTGCATTTGGACAAAAAAAATTTATTGATATGTCAATACAGATTGATTTGAATATAATCGTCTCCTTCAAAGAATACGGTTCAAAACCTGCATTAAATAAAGGTTAATAGTTAACCTGTTATTTATCTAAGATGTCGTTCCGAAGATTTTTGTGACTGCCAATGGAATACAAAGTCAATAATTCGTTTTTCTGATTTACCAATAATTGTCCAAAAGTCAGATTGCCGGCTTTGATAATAGTCGACTCATATGTCCTACTTGGTGATGTCCGATTATCCTTGCTTATGGGTATCAGCAAGGTCACAGTCAAGTTGCCGTCTCGCGTCACTAAATATTATATTACAATGATTTAGTGTTTTCGTGTCACTAATCGTCAGCTTTTTAAAGCACGCTTTCGTTTTGAGGAATGGTTTAAATTTAATTTCTTATTTAGCATCCATACATGAATATACTATTACTACAGTATTAGTATGAAATTATTTAAATATATTCAACTGTATCAGAGTATTGTATCAAACGATCCCCTTCCGTTTTCTAACAGTAAGTAATAGCTGTTATTTTAATATCTTATTTAAAAATTAACTACAGTCTATTGTTCAAAATCAAAACAAATATATGTATTATATGACCTCGCCTTAGTGTAGAAAGACTTCCTAATATAATGAGATATATTAATGTGCACACATCTTGCCTAAGAGATTAATCTTAATAACCTAGTAAATAAGGCTTTAATTTCTATGATATGATCGTGAGTTATGTTTTACCATTAGTTCTTATGACGTCAATCGGGCTTCGAAATGTTGATCTTGATTATTGATGAATAAAAATTCTATTAATTGTTAATGTTGTTTTGATAGTTCCTATTTAAGTGATACGGTTGATTTATAAATAATAATAATAAAGAATAATAAATAAATAAATATTTACTAACAATCACGCCACGTTAACTGGTCCCGTTATAAGTTCGTAAAGAACTTGTGTTACAGGTACCAGATAACGGAAATAAATGTAAGATTTTTATTATACACATACATATATTTTAATATACATCCATAACCCTGGAAAATACATTTATATTTATCATACAAATATCTTCCCTTGGCGGGATTCGAACCCGCGACCCCCTTATGTAGTGACCATGTTACTTACCACTACGGCCGTCATAAAAGAAAAGGTTTATATTGAGTGGTTCGAGATGGGAGTCGAATGTGTGAAACAAACCAGAACAATTCAGAGAATATTGGTCACTTTTTTTCTCAATTAATCGCTTTTAGCCTAAGGGGCTATTTAGCTACTCCCGGACTGATAGGTGAGCTTACGGGCTCAATTTGAGAGAGTGTGTTAGCACTGGCCTTAGCAAGAGCAGGGCTTCGCAAAAACCACCACCGGATCGGAATCGCGACCTTTTTTTTTTTTTTAACGCTGGGGAGTCCATTTACGGATACCCGGTCGAGAGGGGTAACGGACCGGGTTATGTCGGACTCCGGCGCCTCCTAAGAGGAAGAAGGGGAGAAGAGAAGGGCCGAGGTCCTCCACCTCCCCCAATTTCTCACAGGAGACTACGCCTTGAAATAGGCGCGCGGAAGCACTTGCCCCGCAGAACGACTACCGACTAAACCCCATCGAGCTCCACCACACCGACTACACGAAACTTACGGTATCGCGGTGCGCGTCGAAAGTCTCGCCTTAGCCGGTACCCGTAATAATGTTAAGACGGGATCTCATCCCCGGGAAAATCCCGAAGAACCTCGTCTCGGGAGATACACCGTGAGCGGCGCACAGGAGCCACCTTGCACCGCTTCACCACCGGACCAACAGTATCAACCAACGGAATCGCGACCTACTGAGAAGATCCGGCGAGAAAATCAATGGACTGTGTCTACGGGTTAGATCTGTTCATATGACAGTAAACGCACAAATAAATCTTCACACAAAAATCACAAACAACGAATCTTCTGATCTAAATTTACAATTTTAGTATGTATCTAGAACCGATGCCAATACAATAATGTTATAAGTTCACTCTAATATCCTGACCGATATCAACAGGTTAAAAAAAAAATGGAATTCATTGTTAGTCTTTTTAGTTTTTGACGTGACAACGTCTTATAATTCGATGGAGCCGGCTGCACGCACGAAAAAACATGACTCATGCGGCGTTACCTCGCTCTGAAGCGCTCGATTTAAGGCTTGAAGTGCAAGCGAGAGCGCGCAACGAGCGACAAAGAGGCACAATCGGCCTCCGCGTTCGGCAGTGTTCGACGTCTGTCTCTCTCCTACTTGAGTGAGCGATGCATCCGCGTGGACAGCTGCTATAAAATAATACATATTTTACATGTTTTCGTCAAGTATGAAGTTCAGTGAAAAGTGAATGTGGTGTCAATTGTTTATAGCAACGATAATTGCGATAATTGATAAATGAAACCATTCCATCAGTATTTTCTTATGACGTTGTCACGTTCAACTATCGTCAGTAAGCCGACTTTACCATAGACCTATATAGTATTCCTACTTCATTGGACTTTACAGACAACCGATTTTTTTGAGCTACATACCAACCTATGTGTATTTTAGTTTCTAGTTGTCAGTTCAACTGATTAAATCTTTACCAAGGCATATTGTAAAGGTCGTAATGCATTATGTCTTGCCTTTCAAGCCAGCAATTCAAAGCAAGTCTATTCGCTATGTGGTATAGAACTCTATGGAACACAGTCTGGTTGTGTGCCTAGAATGCACTACCGTAGCACCTCACCTCATTTTTTCACGTGGGTGTCCTAAAATGATTCACAGTCCCGTGGTAAACTTTTTAATTCGAAATGCGGGGTATTATAGATTTATTTGATAGAATTGACATATAACAAATCAAGTCACGAACTCTAAACTATTGAGAGACATGAGACATGAGGTCGAAGCCTTATTTGTATTGTAATAACGGCTGTCCTGCCTCCAAAACTGACACGCATGACTCCTTAGTCGCACAAAAAGCTCTTATCATCTTTTATCATCTTATCAAGTTTTAAAGGGAAAAGGACTGTTTTTATTTCAGGACAAGCGAGCTTACCATTCCTTGGTATTCAGTGGTCATGACTGTCCAAAGATATCGGTAACTTCAGAAGTTCAGCCAGCTCGCTACCTTCCATTAAGGTGACATTCCACCACCGGACTGACACTCAGATCGATCCTAGATTTAACCCGGATAGTTTCAAAAAATTCTAAATTTTCGGATGTTGTAAACTTTACATTTCTGTAGCTTATTTAATTACTATTTTTATGGCATCAGTCTTTTTGAAGAAACTTTTCTTGTCTCGCAGTAATTATATGTAATTGTAATTTAGATTATGTTTCAACGATTCATCTATCTTCTTCTTCTAGATATATAAAAATGAATTGCTGTTCGTTTGTCTCGCTAAAACTCGAGAACGGCTGGACCGATTTGGCTAATTTTGGTCTTGAATTATTTGTGGAAGTCCAGAGAGGGTTAAAAGGTAGATAAATGTGAAAATGCTCGGAATTCAATAAAAATAGCTATTATGTTTTTCCTTTGACGTGTCCCCCATCGGACGGATTCCTTTTGTTTGTTTTAAGTTTATTTTATACAAAAGTTTAGGACTTTTATTTATCGATTGAGGCACTACGAAGTTGCCCGGTCAGCTAGTACATTATAAAATTAATTTGTAACTTCTTTTACTGTTTAATATAATATACCCGTTACAGGATTGCCGGTGTTAGAAAACTGTGAGGCTCTTATCGTAAAGAAGAAAACGTGAGATTAAGTTCTATATGTAGTTTTCTTACATCTACGAGTCGCGAAAACCGATGAAATGTTTACCGTACATATTAAAATTATTATTAGATAATTGCTATTTCGAAATTTAAGTGTAAATATAAGTGTAATCCTTATTGTAGTGTTTGAATATTTTTAAAGTATACCTCCTGACATTTTTATTCGAGCAATACAGATTAGATGACTGCTCCTGATGAAATGATATAGCAAAGCGAATATTTACTAGAATGAAACAAGTTAAGACTTTAAAAATATATTGCATGTACTACGGTGGAATAAATTTATTCATCTGTAAAATATTTAAATATTTTGTCTACTCGCATTAAAGCTGTATAATCTTAAAACTTTATAATTTTACAGGAGAGTGTTTTAAAGGTTCAGCATGTGATATTTTTAATATTAATCATCTTTGCAACATTTATTTTTTATTTATTATCAGTTAAGTTATCTGTCTTTTAAAGTAAGATAAAATTATGCATTAATTTTGTTAATAGTAGTCAAAATATAGGTAAACTAAAAAAAAAAAAAACTAAAACTAAACTACGCTCTTTTGACAGTATTTATGAGAAAAATACTGGTTATATTAACGGAATTTCGAATATTTTTGGATATTGTACACTTTTAATGCGAAAAGACGATTTGTTTTTCTAGGAACGCCATATCTGATTATTACTATGGGCATCAGCAATGTTTTTTTTTGCTGACGTCCATGAGCGATAGTAACCACTCACCATTAGGTGGGCTGTATGCTCGTCTACTTAAGGCAATAAAAAAATACTTCCGAAACATCTCATTCACATTATAATTAAACATTTGAATAGATAGTATACGCGACGCGCTTTTTACCCGACGAGTAGGTATTTTATTATCGGGGTGAAACAATTAAATAGTTGATATATATGTAGTTGCATAATGAAATGCGTAGAGGAATGTAGGTTTTCAAGACGACCTACAATTACTATCTGAAGACGGCACGACGGAATGCTTCTTTGAAAAAGCGGCGCGACACCATAATCCTTTTATCGTAGCCGCCACAAATTACATACCAGATCCAGACGACCGAACTACATACAGTCGCCACCGCCCTTAACACGTCATTCCAGATCCTTCCGATCGATTCTTAATGCTTTTATGCATTACGAGCACAGGTCAGGTATTAATACTCGTAAGAATCTTGGATGTTTGTCAGTTATAAATAACGTGTAAATCAACTTTTTTGTGAAATCAGTAATGAAG